AACTGCTTTTTGTTGTTTCGGAGCGTTGCATGATGAGCGCGGTAAGTTTATGTTTCAGTTCAAATTCTACTCTATTTGTCAGTGAGCTTGCAGTAATATTATCGACAGAGATCGCCCACATTGAGAGATTCGTGACCGTCTAGACACGATGCCGTGTAGCGCGTTTTCAGATAGGGGATAGGAGTGGATAACACACCAAAGTCGACCTTGTACCTTGCCTGGGACAGGGTCGAATTTAGCAGATGCGCACACTTTCTGTGCACCTCTGAGCTGACATTTATCTCCTGTTCGTTCGCGCATATATTCATGAAAGCGTACGGGTGCTCTGTCTAAAAGTTATTGTATCTTGGGTGTAGAACAACCAGCGTCTTTGTCGTCTTCACGGATGCGAGTAGGCTGTGGGCCTCGATACTTTGGAGATATAACGACTGAAAGTGGTGTTTGACCGCTCGAAACTAGTGGATGGGTGACGACATCTATAGCCGTCGATGGTCTTGCCCCAAATCGGAAAACACTCAGTGAAAGAACAAACGAGATAAGTCAAGTTTGCTTTTAAAAAAGTAGTACTGATATAATAAAGCCATCTTAAGACCGATTCGGCCTAAATGCTTACTGTACCCTCCGGTTTGCTTAAGAAGTGATAAGTGATCTATAGACTTTTTTCCGTAAGGAAAATATTGCTAGATTAAACAATAAGCCAATCGAGGTAACAAATCTTCACCGAAAACGGTCGGCAAATTTAACACACTACTGAAAACGCTCTCTTTCTTCTCACAGATAATGCTCCACTGCTTTCATTGAACACTTCAGTCCAGAGTTTTGCAAATATCTCAGCAACGTTGTAGTTAATTAAATAGTTTTCCAGTGTATAGTATCACCGTGAACTAAGCCAGATTTACAGTTCGTTTTTTCTCACCTGCTAAATGGAAGCCAACGACCGACATGGATGTTTGAGGCAGTGATGCCATTCCTTAAAACAGGGATGGTAGAGAATGGAGCAGATGGTCAGTTGTCGCTGAGCGTTCCGTTGATTAAGAAACACCTTAGGATTGTAGAAAAGCACCTCATCTACTACCTACCGGCTCAGCCACAAAAACTACGATGTAAGCAGCTCCTGGATTTATGTCGAGCTTGAAACGGAAAAAAACTTGTGCGCGCCGAAATTTTTTGAATAGCTCAAAAAATAGAAGAAGAACTGAACGCTTTTCTAATTGCCGCGCATCTCACATGACTACGATGAAGTTTTAACTGGAACAAACAACTAAAAAAACTTTCAATACCATCAGCGAAAAAAACGAGACTTCTGAAGACGCAACGAAGACGAATTAGTTTAAACATTGTCACCGGAAGGTTCGCTAGTGCACAAGTTCTTTTCTGGCCATGCTGAGGGTGCATTGAGATTTTGAATAAATTCTATACAGATGTAAAGATAATGGTTTTTACGCATCAATTGGTAAAACGATGACAACAAAGAATTGGTATAATCGATAGCGAGTGAATTCCTCTCCGAATATCTAAAAATCCCCAGGACCGACTTTCTATTAACCTCGGCAATGATTGATAATTCGCTGTTTTTCCTCAACAAGCAAATCGTTTTATACCTAAAGAGCTCCAAATTGCCGCATTTACCATTCGACATTGACCTTCACAGTCACTGTACCACTTGTAATTAAAACGCTTTCCGGGTAAACACCACAATTTTTCTTCGCACTCCTGTTGAGCAAACGCGAGGTGTTAGTTTATTCTTTATTCACGAACAAGCTGACGTTTCGGCTGATTTTGTCTACCTCAGAGCTTGGAAAGGTCAAGTTGACAGCAATCTTTCTGGCCCAACACCTCCATAACCGAACAGGGGAAACGCTAAACCAAGATTTTAATCACATTTAACATAGCTCTGCACACTCACCGCTTTCTATGAGTCTTCCAGTGAGTATGTCGTGTGAAAACCAACCGCACAGAATTTACATGGAAGCGTAATGCGCCCATCCTATCAGAATAACAGGCTTATATACCGCCCAATGGCACGCGCGATAACGAGCAATCTTTCCTGCGGTTCGTTTCGGATTTCTGGAATTAATCCAGAACGCATCGAGAGTTCTGCGCGCTTGTGTTCTCGATTCCTGTGCAAGGATCGTGACACGTACTTTAAATTCCTCCCCGTTATGTCTCTGGGTCCTGTGCGTGCCTGGTGGGGTATTTGGTTTACGTTTGCCGACTAGGTGTTCTTTTATGCGAACACAGAGGGGTCTACCCGTTTCGCCAATGTATTCACCATCGCACGCCTTACAGAAGATCTGATAAAGTGTACCCGGGCTCATGCAAACACCATCTTTGCCATCTATCTGTATCAGTATCTGCAGTCCCGTTGATCGTCGAGTAACTCGAGCGGGCGCCAGCTAATCCTCCATTTTTCCCTGTCGCGTGCAAGAGTTGACCAGTGGGCTCTGCTCGCTCAAGGAACTTGTCGAGCATCGCATCTTTCTTTAAGGTTCTTTGTGAAGAGCTCTGACCATCTGATCGGTGGTGTTTCTGCAGTACGCTTGACATCAGGAGGAATCCAGTCACAAACAGCTCTTGTCCATCGGTTGTTATTCATGTGCATTGCGTCTCTGGCCCACCTTATCTTCGACTGTTCTGCGCATAGAACGGCGTCTTCGATTTCTCATCGTTCCCGCAATTCGGCGCTTCGAATCCCTTCCCTTACTTGCGTGACACAGGATAGTCCTAGCACTGTCCTTTCGACTGTGCGTTCGATAACGCTGACTGACTCTTCATCTTGCTTACGCAACGACAATGTTTCTGGAGCATATGTTAGGGCAGAAAGTACCGTTGAGTCGAAAAGGTGGGTACGGAGTCGGGTGTTCCTTCTTTTCTTCATTACATCCTCGATGCTCTTGAAAGCTCTCCAAACCCCTCGTTTCTTTTTGCTCAGCTCCGGAGCTAGGTCGTTCATCATATTAATCTCCCAACCTAGATAGACATAACTGGACCATTCGGAGACATTCGTTCCGTTAAGCGTGAATGCGAAACCAATCCATTTTTCATAAACATCGTTTTTGTGAGGTTTAGTCGAAGGCCAATCTTTTCACAGGCCTTATCACAGTCGTCAAACATACGTTCCGCCTAGCTAATGTTTGGTGTTATAAGGACGATGTCATCAGCAAAGCGAAGATGATGCAACTGCCGACCGTCGATTTTCACTCTCATATTACCCCATTCCAATGTTCGCATAACGTCCTGGAGGGCGGCGGTAAATAATTTTGGCGAGATGGTATTGCCTTGCCAAACTCCTCTTTTGATGTCAATGTTAATATCGTTGTAGAATGGTGATATCTTGGTTGTGAAATTTATGTACTGAGTAGAGCCTTTTTGACTATCACGGGCTTCCAAGACTCCTTCTATCTCAACTGAATTAAAGGCCTTCTGTAAATCGTTGAAAGTGGAATAAAACGGTCTTTTGTACTTTCGCGATACTTCAGTGAGTCTTGTTACCGTGTGGATATGGTCCGTCGTACTAATTCCTTAATACTCTCTACCGTTAGAGCAAATTATGCAATTTTGCTTTGCACATAGACGGTCATATAGGCGGTTACGAACTAGCTGGCAACTAGGGGTACTCGGTGGCATTTCAGCTGCGTTTACCGAATTTTCTAGACCCACCTTTTTAAAGCAACGTTTTATAGCTGTACTAGCGTCATTTGAAATGAAGGGTTGGTCAACAGAACCTTTTTGTCGCTAGCGATGTCGTTTGGGGGCCCAGAATTTTTTCTACACCTATCCCTAGCTACATTTTCCTAGCCGTTAGAAATGGCTATTTGCCGTGCCAAGTTCCGGGACTCCTCTCTTTGCTCTCTTCTCGTGCACACTTTGGTTGCTGTTGGAAACATGTTTCTTACAAGCGGCCTTTTCGTGTGAGAGGGGTGAGAGGAGAGTTAATGAACCAAGATGTTTTTACTACTTGGCTTTCGGTACCACTTCGTAATGCAGCCAATTTCTAACAGGTTAATTTCCACGTTGAGAAATGGAATCCAGTTTTTTTCGGCTTTTCTCGGGTGAACTTGATGTACTCTGACTGTTCGTTCAACAACTCGAAACATTTATCCATTTGCTCTTGTGTTGAGGAAAGGACAAAACGGTCATCTATATTCGACGTTTTTCTTCAATAACCAGATACGAGGTTGTTATTATAGAATTTATTAGGATACAATAGCCGACTTTTCGGCGGTTTCGCCTTTTTCAGAGCCGCTTACTTGTTGTAAGTATTGAAGTTAGTTGATGGATGGTAGCCGCACAGTAATACATGGGCGATAACTCGAGTTGTGGTGGTGAACGCGTTTTTCTTATCTTATTCGCTACTCAGTCTTCTTCAATTTTTAGAAGAATATGCCAGTGATGGAATTGAAATCAAGCCCACTTAAAAAAGGTTATTGGCGTCAAATGATGAAGAAATTATGAGCGAATTGGAATTTTTCTGAGCCTACTCTAGGACAGACTTGTACCCTATGCTTCTGTCTTATTAACGTACTTGGATACTTGGATGACCTGATTCACTGATTGGGCGGATCCCAGCACAGTTTCCACTTTTTCTGTGTTTTGCTGGTTTTTGTGGCTTCCTAGAGTCCTAAGATCAGCCGGGCCAAAGTCTGCTCCAGGTCGTTACCACCACAGGCAGTTGCCGCCCTTGTGGATCAGAGGGAGATTTCCCACCTTGCGACTAGCTCGGTGCTTGCATGGTGGTGGATCGCGGTATTAGTTCACTCGTAGCTGAGTTTTTGGGTGGAAACGCCTGACTCCTCAACTTGGAAGGCCATATCAGGAAGATAAATCTGCTCGCTGTACATTGCAGCGCAACACCCAGGAACACTTCCCAGCAACGTTGAGGCAGTAAACCGTTGGGAGACTTCTGTCTTAAAATGCTTAAAATGTGTTTAACTTGAAAAATTTTAACTCTTTAAATCAAGTTCTTAATTTTTCTACACTTTTATAGGTATGGGACGCCGATGTTCAACGATATAAAGATGCTTCTCCTCGTTGCTCAAGGTGAGGCTGCGCTCCAAGAGTTCTCGAAGGTGTGTCGCACATTTGAGGAAAACCCCACTATTTATATTTACATTGTCTTTCCAGCGTTACACAGTCTTAAACCTTGACCTATATTGTTTCCGAAATCATTTTAGATTAGAGACTTTTGGCAGCCCTGTGATGTTGTGTTGGTAAACTGTCAGAACAAGACAAGGCTGTTCAAAGGATGGGGTCAACTATGCACGAAATGGAAGGAACACCGGAGCTTGCTGATTGTAATGAAACTTTCCCTGTACTACAAGCAATTTGAGGAGACTTTTACTAAACCAGTACTTTATTGTTTCTAGTTGAACAAAGGAAAAAGGACCTTCTAGAATGCGCTATCCTGGGAAGAGAATTTGAGTCAAACAAGTGCGATGTTCGACATCTGGACTGATAGTCAAAGGCGTTGGGCATATTTGGAAGGTTTGCTTCCTGGATCAGCTGCGTTCCAACATTACTACTCCTTGCCCTTGAAAGTGCACGGTTTCCCATTTATGTTTTTAAATACCAAATAAGATGATTTCCAAAGAGGCGACGTGTCACATATGTATGCACCCTCGTTGTATGTTCCAGCAGGAATTTAAATTATAACTGAATTCTGCAGTGGGCAAATTGTGAACCAACGTTTATGATTCAGTTTCTGGTTCGGTCATCCACTGATCTGTGCATCTGTTTCTACTGTTCATCATTTGTGTGAAAATTGTAACGTTTGCACGGAATTTTTGCCATTGATGAAAAAGGTCACACAGCCGCCACGCATTCTTGATATGATCGGTATGCAAGAAGCCCAACGTTTGCTTGGTATACTCGCAAACACGTTATCCAAAATTCAGAAGGCTCTTGGTGAATATTTGTAGTGGGAGAGGTCATGTTTTACGCGGTAAGTTTACCAACTTCGTCATTTTTAGATTTCGTTAAAAGATTTTTGTCGTTGTTGTTCGGATTCGTAGTCTTCGTTGAAGGCGATGATTTATTGGAAATCATGGGTAACCGGAAAGACATTTCTCGTCTGCAAAAGAATCTTAAGAAAATTTTGCTGCTGTGATTTTCGTAGATGTTCTGGAAAAAGACCGCGTTGTCAGTGCAGCATGACAGTAACTGATGAAGTGTATAGTGGCTTCTTTTCCTTTAGAATACCGTTCTACAAAGCTTCGAAATAGAACGAGTAAAACTTGTCTTGTCGGTCAACACCAAAGATGTTTTCATCATTGATTGTCGTAAAGCGATGGAAACTGAAATGAAACGCACAGTTGTGAAGCAGAAATATCTCTAATAATCAGCAAATTTCAAATTTCTCCTCATACTTTTGATTTCTCCCTAGTACGTCTCTCAAAGTTGGACATTGACACTTTAAAATCGGTGGAATGTATGGAACGGCTGGATAAGTTTCCGGTAAGTTTTCTACGGTTTTCGTGTAGTTGGCGAAATTCTATTAAAATGTCCTGGGCTTATGTCGTAGCACTGATTACTGAGATTTGGTGGAGCAACCAAATGGATATCGTGCTGGCCGATGCTAAAAGGTTCGGTAAACTTGAACAAGTAATGTCGGCAATACTCTTCCTACTTGCTAATTCACCGCTAAGAGATCAAACTTCGATTGGACAAAGAAAAGTAGAAACATTGGTCAGCAGTGTTTTTTGTCAAAAGTAATGCATATGGGGTGTGCCTAGCGCAATGGTCGGAGGCGTCCTGCAATACACATAGGATTGATCACACAGCCCTAGGTGTTTCAAGCCTTCCATCTCCCGTAGTCGGCATACCAACCCTGTCTGGGTAGATGGCAGCGCTGGACCATTACATGGGTAGGCCAACGCGAGTCACCGTAAAGTGTAGACATGCGTTCAATCACCTCTATCGAGGCTTAATGAAGTCGATCGTATGGTATATCCCTTTGGGATTGATCATCACCAAAGGTTCTAACTTTTATGCTGTTATTATTAGTAATTATGGAATTTGTCCATAAGCGCGAAGCTCTCCGAAAGTTGAATGATGTTGTCAAGAGCACTTCCGATTTCGGCTGGTTGCAACACATGCGACTTTATTTCGATCCTAAACAAGTGGAGGAAGAATCTGGCGCTAAAGAACCAGTTGAAAATGAGACACCTAGAAAGCAAAAAAAAAGTGCTAATTTACTTCGTCCAATGTTTTTTTATTTTTTTTCTTTTAACGCCTGGAACGCCTCTCAACGGTTTACCGCCTCATCGTGGCTGGGAGGTGTTCTGACCTTGAGACTCCAGGAAACCATAAGGGTTTAACCAGCCATTCTCCGAAAGATGGAGATTATGCTGGGGCCTGCACATCTAGTAAGGGCGTGCCATTCAAGTATCAAATATCGAGTAACGCCTGGAGACAGACATTAATTGATCCCCTTAGCTGAAGAAGGAAAATACTGATCACTTTCAACTTTGAATCAGCATCTCGGCTAATAGCGAGCTTTATTAATTTCAGTTAAAAGCACTGGGATGTGCAGGTCTTTTCCAGTAGGATTGAAGTTTCCTTGTTTAACTGCGGTAATGTGGTTCTATGAAACTCAAAAGTGTTCTTGCCACTTTTTCCTATCGAGGTTCTTATTCCGAACATGAAGAAGCTGAAGATTGGCAAGGCTGGTTTCGTGCAGCATAATGTGACGAAATGCATCCATGATGTTTTCGATCGATGATCTTGCATTATGGATTTCACAAATTCAAGTTTCCATCTCAATTTCCTAGAAGTTTTCATCTCAAAATGCTATGAAAGTGGAACAGGATTTTCGTAAAACCGTATTTGTTGATGATTCGGTAAAGCAAATTCACAAGACCGACTTTCTGTTAGCCTTGGCACTGATTGGTAATTCACTGTCTTTCTTCGATAAGCAAAAAAAAATACGCGTTTGTTTGTCGAAGAAATATGGCTAGGGCAAACTTTTTTGCTCAAGTTCGAATTCTCAACTTTTCAAATAATCTTGCTGTCCTAAAGTCGTGGGCAATTTTCGAAAAAACAGACTTGGTCTCGAAATTTCGAAGCTGATTTTTGGCGAGTTTTGCGAAGTTTCGAGGTGTTTTATGGCAAGTGAAGTCGTTCAGCTTCACTTTCGTTCATAGTCAACACCCATCTTATCAAAGCAGTTTATTTTCGGTGTTATCAGTGACATAGCGTTCATTTGGTGGAGTGAATTGGTTTCGAAGAACAACGTCTAAGAACAGAGTTATTCAGTCTAATGGGCTCAGTATTCAGCCTAATGGGCTAACTATCCTATCACTAGAATGATAAAGCGTTCAGCGTTGATTTATCCTTTAACGGTGCGCAATGTACCAACTCCACCAAATGTCATAAAAGTGACTGAAGGGGTATTTGATCTGTGCACTAATTTATGAGGGTTACAGTTGTATCAAGTAAGCGCTCAATTTTTCCCAAACAACTTTGATTTCGATTTTTCCATTTTCGTGCACCTTTCCGAGGAATAGATCAGCATCGAACGGTATGACCCCTACCTTTATCTAAATCCTAGACAACACAATCGAACGCTCCCTCCTGGCCGTCTCAGGACTCCAGGGAGAATTGCTCGACCAGCATCCTACGACATTCAAGATGAAATGAAAATCCTCAAGCAGCAACCAAAGTCACACCTAAAGTTGGAAGATCTTCGTGGATGATGGATGCGAGGAAACGAATTGAATGTGATAAATGCTGGGGTAGGTACGGCAGACGTGAAGACGGGTCAAGTAGGATAAATAAAAGAAAGCAAAAAGCAGAGAAAAATTAAACGGTTCATCAATTTCTCACCGTCACTTTCCCATACTATAAGTAGCGCAGAAACAAATGACATTCCAGAATTACTCATCTGTTAATTGGAAGAAGTTGTCAATTTAGGTGATGAGCTAACGAAGCTAGTTATTTTTTTTCACAAACCTGTCTTACACTTCAATATTTGATGGATCAAGTGGAACCTCTCAGTGAAGCTTCAAAAATCATGTAGTGATTCATATTCGTGCTGTCTGCATGGATGCTGTCATGTAACTGGACATTGTTACATCCTAAGACACACTCTGTTAAGATAATATTAGCATCGGCCAACTACTAAACTTCAGCAGTATAGAAATCAGTTATGTCAGTGGAATGGAGATACCGAAAAGCTCATAGTATCGCATGATTTTAGATCACACGAAACGTAGAAAAGATGGTAATTTTCTTGGTGGAGGCGACCAGCTTTTGTGACAAACTGAGATGTGTAGAAACCATTTCTCCACTCTTTAAAAATGCGCTTATCAAACTTTCTCCCTGGTCGATGAAGCAACAATTCCTCGACATTGATACAACTCGCCTACTCAGAGACACTGGATTGATGAGGAATGTTCAGACCACTGTTTATGGCATTTCAGCAACGAAAACCTTCTCACACTGTTTAGCGTCCACATGGCTAATCGACAGGGTTAAAGAGAAGTCGATTTTTGAAATATTGTTATGCTCTGTCCCAGATAAGCACGATAACGACAGTATGGATCGTCCGCAAAAAAACGAGCGATTGCCAACGTACGATCATTGTGAACAACAACAACCATCTTGTATAGAAGACCACTGCCGAATGTATTTACTTCATTCGAGCTGAGGTCCACCCCAATGGATTTAACTCAATGAAACCACGAAGACCTACTATTATAACACGTACCTTATAACGTGGTAGCTACATTACACTGTTGTTATAACCTCACACGTGCCTTCTTATATGCTTTCTTCATCGCGCTGCTGGTGTTTGCTGAAGGCGGTGAACCTCACGTGCTACAGACAACATTCTCCACAAAACAATGAACGTTATCTATCAAGTTTCAAATAAATCATCATACAATTTTTGCAGAAGCTATAATGTTTCCACATGAACTTTGTCTATGAGCTACTGTTCAGCCTTCACACGATCCTTCAGTGCAAACAGCTCAATCGGATTGTGCGAACTGAGAAAATTCCAGAATTACCCTTTGAGCTTTAACTACAATTTTTCTTTTAACAATACGCCATTCAAAAAATATGTTCAAGCACCAGCATCATTATTCGTTTCTCAGTTCACTCAAGTAGTCCCCCTACATTCCTGAATTTTCTTGGTTGATTGGCTGAGCTGTGTTCTACATGGAACTTCTTTCCCACATTGCATTAACAGTCTGCAGCAGAAGCTGTATGTTTATTTCCAACGTAATTTCTCTCTCACTGGCTTATTTTTGCTTGCAAATCCCATTCCCTTCTTCGCCTCTATAATATTTGCATTTGTTGACATCGTCAAGCCGTTATTGTTGTCTCGTTGTTGTAAACGGTAAAACGAAACATTGGGCTTCCTTTGCGGCAGCGACAAAAGTTCTTTATGGGAAATTCCCACGAAGTCGAGCCTTCTATTTTGAATAGGTTATCATTTGGGCTCTGATGACGGAGTCGAAATTCTATATTTCACAAGCTAACCGTGTGAAAGATAATTCACAGCGGTCACGCTCCCATGCTGCACCCAATTCCACCTTATTAATCGATGGCACAGCAGAGATTCTCACATGAAGCACGAAGATGAGAAGAAACGGAATCTTCTTAGACCTTTAATCAAATTCTCACTGTTATATTCCCTCCTTATCAGGTGCACTATTACTGCCTCATAACCGTTGGAAGTAGCTACATACCGCACAGCCTGCTGATCGACGATTCTCTCCCACCTCTCCGTGGGTGCAAATGTTAACCAAATCGCAAAACGGTAGTGTGATAAGAGGACTGTTTATTATGTACGTTCGAAACCAGTCTAATATACAATTCAACAAACTGATGAAATGAAATTGTGACCACATCTCTCGTATTTTGCATTACCTAAATATCAATGCTTGGAATAAAATCTTTTCAAAATCAAAACATCTCACGTTTAAAATTACCAGGAGAAAATACGAAAGGAGCAACACTGGAAGATTGAATCGAAAACATTGTTCTTATTTGTGATGGCGAACATGCCCACTAGAATTGATACGTGCGACGATACCGCATTTAGAACAATAGAAGCCATATTCAAAGAAAGGCTATGGGTTTAAAAAAAAGCAGGTTACTTTGCTTCACTTTGGACTCGAGACCTCGTGACGATGCCGGATGATGTCGGCCCTGGCTTTCCTTTTCCCACTGTGTCCCGGTCCTGCATTAGATCTGCTTCCAGGTCATTATGGCGTTTTTTCAAAATCTCATTTTCGTAACGTATCTCATTCGTATTACCGATCTGCAAAAAGCCGTCATGTCGAAAGATTGAAACAAAATTAAGGACTTTGTTAGGAAAGTGTGGTACTCTTCGTATCCTTGAAACAACTGGACACTTGTGAATTGCAATTGTACTACAGGGCGCCTCCGGACACTGCGTATTATGCGCGCCAAACTTTGCTAATAGAGATTAAAACGATGTGCACAGTTTGGCCAATGATGTTCTACTGTTTTTGAATTCTATCACGACAAAATTCTTAACATTTGAAATCAGCGAATGTTCTGAATGCATTTTCATCGGCGCTGTTGTGCTGAAAGGTGCAGAGTTTAGTTTTGCAAATATTTTGACTGTTGAAATGATGATTGTATGAAGCGAGGTGGTGCATCACCGTACCGTGGTGGTTTGAGATGGTTACTGCAGTCATTCTTCGATCTTTGTGTGTGAAAGTTCATTTGTCGGCTGGCGACAAGATTGCTACCTATGAGAGGACAGAATCTCTTGAACGGGTGAACCCTCGTGTCGATTTCGAATAGCGATATCTAACTCTTCACTTTTGGTGATCCTTGGTATACGACGAAACCCGTCCTCTGAATTGCACTTAATGTCTCCTTCCAGTAGAGTATTTAAACTACATGGAAGGCGAGCAACCAATGTGAAAAAAATAGATTAAAATAAGCATGTCGGCATTATTTATTGCTATTATTGTTGTGACGCCCAGTAATATAAATGTGAGAGCATTTTTTGTGTTGATGAAGGTAGTCTTTCGAAAATGCTCTATCACTGTTGTACTGAAGCTTCGCTAATTGTTATCTTCATTTAAAGCTACTACTATATTGCCGACGAACTTCGAGCCATCAACAACGGTTTCGTATTTAACTGGAGCACGTCTGTCGCGGTGGTTCTTCAAACTGGTTTGACGTTACTAGTAGTAGACGTTAATGGATTGAAGCTCGACTTACTGAAAAAGTAGGTATTATTTCCTAGAAAGAGCAATAATCAAAGTAAAAATAATTATGAGACAGGTTTGGTTGTCTATAAGGTTTCTTGTCATTTCTCTTTTTCTTTTTTGCATCAGCAAAATATTGCTTTGGTGAACAAGAAAAGTACACATGGAAATTTCACAGTCTCTGAAGAGGGTAGTAAAACAGCTGTAGCATCAGCTGTCGACAGTGTTGTAAACACCATTTAAGTGATTTCGCCTTTACTCATTAAAACACACTCTAAGCGAAGAATTCCGGCCGTGAAGCAATTATCAATAGACACCATCTATAAGAAATGTGCACTATGTAAACCGTATGTTGGAGGGGAACGAAGAGAGATCTATCAACAGTGTAGTTTCACACTGCCAAAATAACAGTTCCACAAAATCATTCTTTCGCATGACTTGTTTTCTGTGGGTGCCTTTTTAGCGTCCCGCAGTTTGACTCTGCTCTTCAATCCGACTATTTTAGGTGACTTTTGGCAAACCACTTTCGGTTATTCCATGGAGTCTTTTGTGCAGAACTGACAACCATTGCAAAGATCGCATCAGCAATAGTTGGTGTTTTTTGAAATGGTTTCCAATGAATGGACTTTTTAATTTTGTGTAGATGGCGAGAGAAATCTAACGTATTCCGGATGTGTATTCACTGCCTAAATTTCCTTCTTTGTGCGGAAAATAAACCGTGACTAATTTTTGTTCATGTAAATGCTGTTCTGCACCGTGTAGAAGTATCCATGGGAACGTTATCTACTCCTGCAAGGTTCTAGAACGTTGGCCACCTTCGCTAACTCGGTGGCGCACTTGTTTTCCAGTCAAAATCCTACCCTTTATCCGGTTGACACAATAACAACGTGTTTGGAGAAGGGGTGTCTCACAATTGAAAACATTTTTTCCATTGGGTTGCAAAAAGATTGAAGCCATATATTTTCGTTCACATAATTAAGTCATCTTTCCCAAAGGTTTACCGCCTCGATGCGGCTGGGAGGTGTTCCTGAGTGTCGGGCTGCGTTGTAAAGCGGGAGGATTCGTCCACTCGGCCGGGTCACCAGAGCTGAGATAGGAGTACTGCTTTTCCATCAGGAAACCTAGCTAAGATTAAAGCAATGCCAGGATCGACCACCGTTCTGGTATCAAACTAGTCGCATGGTGGCAAATCCTCCTCTGATCGACAAGGGGTGCGGCAGCCTGTCGTGGTAATGACCTGGGGCACACTGGCTAGGCTGACCTCGGGACTCCAAGGAAACAATAGCTAAACCGACAGAACTCCGAATAATGGTGGTTGTCCTAGGGCCTGCACAAAGTGAGGGCGGCCCGTCCAAGTATCCAAATAAATAATTGGAACATCGGTATTAAGTGCACATACGACCAGTTATATCAGTCATATATGACCCTATATCAGTTGGAGTAGCCTGCCGAGTTTTTTTTCCTCGATCATATCGCTTGAAAGTTACTTTAACATTCCATGTTAATTTAATTGTTCTTCTCTATAGCTGAAAAAATCTATTTTTCAACCACTATTTACCTTTTTTATTATTATATCGTTTTGCATTATTAAAAAATCTATGCTTATATAAAATCCTGAAACAAAGGTAAGTTTCCTTACGCTGCTACACAATGTAGAACTGTAATACATAATAGATGTACACTTGGCTTACGAGGAACGTGCAAACGAAAGCTCGAGATTTACACTACAGATTCATACTTGACTAAACTTCATCAGGCGTACGTAACTCTCCCACAACACCTTCAGATATAGAACTCCCCACAGCTCAGAGATCCCTATCAGCTAATCCTCGGTTGGATAATTGAAATACGCAACAGTAGTTGGCAGAAAGAAATCCATTATAAAGATTCGATGAAATGACACCGAAACGTTAAATCAGGAAGGATTGAACCACTTTAAAGGCGAAACCTAGGCACTGAAAATAACACTTGCAGGCGACAAAATTTGAAATATGACATCGATTTAAAGCAACACTCATCCTGCTTCGTAAAGAAACATGGATTTGAGTCGCTCTATCAGATGCCGCTTCGCCACAAATAATCGTTACCTAAATATAAACACGAACAGTCAAAACCTGTGGAACTTATGAAGAAACTTAAAACTGGCTCCTAACCAAGAAAACGAAGAGTTGACCAATCCTAAAGAAAGCATCTAAAGCCATAAAATCGTGCCCGCCATGCTCATAATACATTCCGATAGGAACAAAAAGAATCCACTTATCATGTTTTCATCAATTTCCATAAGCGGATTCTCAGAATATGTGAGCAGTTGTGAAAGCTTAACTTCCACATCGGAATCTAGCGAATATGACACACTTCCTCTTCACGACGGTGACACTGGCGCATTTGACAAAATGTCATGACACTTGTTGACTTCCTTAAATTCCAACTTCTACTTTCGAGAAAATATTACTTTCCATGAGGCGTGATGACATTAGCTGAAAGCATTTTAGAAAAAAAAACAAGGCGAAAGAAATACATCAAAAGCAAATAAACACTAAACAATGTTCCTGCTGTGTTACCCTAAGGGTTTTTGAAAAGCGAGTGAAAAGTACAACAATCAGCGTTCACACTTCTATGCACAGAAAAGTGCCTCCTTAAAAAAACTGAAGGAAGAACTCGAGAAGGTGGAATAAATGTAGCCACCAGTGAAGAGCGTTTGGCATCACTTAATCGATATCTATCTATCAGTTTCACAAAGCAGTTAAACGGCTAACATCACTGACTTACAAAGAAATTTTGAACCAACGCAACGAATAGTAAGTTGGAGGAGGACAACACAAGCAATGATGCGAGCTGAAGGACATACCTAACAACACTTTCCATATAATCCTAGTTCTGTACACGAAACTACGCCACCGATGGCGCACACCGTATTAGCTTCCCGTTACAGGCACTGTTCACATTGTTGAGGAAGTCCAGAGAAATGGCGCTGGTTCGGCTTCGACCATCCGTAGCAAAGAATTTTACCAATCTGCCAACGATCAAAACATTTCATGGTGCGGCTGTGTTAATACTAAATAAAACAATAGGAATAGAAGAAAATGCGCAAAATGCAATGAAGATGATGGTTTAAAAAACGGTACATTTCTGGAAGAAGAATTTCTTTAAAAACTGCTCTACCTGAATACAGGCTCTTCCAAACTCCTCTTCATCACCGCTCTCCTCGTCAGTTTTCGTTGGATAGTAATGCTGTGGTGTGGGATCTCTTCGATAGTATAATGTAGCCAGCACGGTTTTCGACAAAAAAATTGGGCATCGTCGGCGAACTAAATTAAACAAAAGATAGAGACACAAATCGAAGAAAAAAAACCAAGAAAAGTTTGAACCAGCTTTTTTCTAGCACATGACTGATGAGGCATATTGGTTAAGCTCCTTCGGATCTCACTGATACTCAGCTAAGCTAACAACAATTCTTCCGGTTAAATAATGAGCTCTAAGTGCATATTAGAAAGGTGATAATCAAACCCTTTCAAGCGGTAGAATGAACAAAGGTGTAATGAAAAAAATTAGCAAATCAAGTACGAAGTAACCATGAAATTGTTCGCCTTCCACTGCTATACCGCGATCAGTTGACGTTTCATCTTCTACGCTACTTTCTGCCTTTAGTTTTCTTTGGCAAGATTTTTTCCCTACTCACCACCAGTTGCATCTTTCTTCTTCAGTAGTCGGCCGCCATCTTGGACTTCACGTTTCTTACCTAAGCGTTACAAAATTTAGAGACAAACTAGTTCCACCGTCTGATAAAACTTGAAATTAACCTCGGCGTTAATAATGAAGTTACGGAACGATATCATTAACACCTACTTTTGATGTCCAATTCCCAAAACTTGCAGTTTTATCCGAAACGCCTCAAGAGTTTTGCGTATTGACGTTTTCGACATCGGTGCAAGGATCCTTACTGCCACATCAAAACCTTTCGGATATACCGCATCTTGGACCTGTCACTCATGTCGAAGACAGCAGTGTTTTTATGTATTGACAGGGATGATGTAAGAGGACAAGAAGAAAATGGCGTTAATTTTCTTGTCGCAGTTGGGAGGGCCACGATCAAAAACGTTAACACTCAAAACTTCTGCAGCGTTTCGAATAAATTAAAAAATCAAAAGTGGATACGAAGTATTGGTGATCCACTATGACACGTGGCTTACGGTCTCATCTCAGACTTATGTTCTCAACTGAGTGGGAAACCATTTGCCACACTTCGTGAACAACACACGGGTTGCGTCAATCTTCATAAAACGAAGCTGCCGTGAACTCTTTAATGCACTTGAGCACTGTTGCCGTATGTATTGTAGTTAAGAGTGCAGATTATCTACTTACTAGGACAGCCCGGTTGTGCGGTACCCACTACAATTTCTACTTTTCAATGTCTCATTGGCTAAGCCATTGTGGTTTCTTGGAGTCCCGAGGTCAGCCAGACCAAAGTCTGCTCCAGATCGTCACCACCACGGGCACTCACCGCTCTTGTGGACCAGAGGGAGATTTACCAAGACGCATCTAGTTTGATACCAGGACGGTGACAGATCCTGGTAGAGGTTCACTATCGGTTTGGTTTTCTGATGGAAACGTTGGACTCGTTCTCAGGTTAGGAGACTCTGTTAGAGGGATGTATCCAGCGGCCGCACATTGCAGCACAGCTGCCAGGAAAACTTCTCAGCCACGATGAGACGGTAAACCATTGGCAGGGACTATAGATTATTAAGCTAATAGTACAAATAAAGCCAAGAATACGTCTAAATTCTTCAGGAAAAAAAGTGGATAATATGTAACCCAACAAGCATTAAAAATACAAATTAACAACCATGTGGCAGCTTATCAAAGAGTGTACGTAAAAGAAATGAATGAAAACAAACGAACTAGGACTGAGAGCTATTTGGCCCATAATACCGGGACAAGATTGTGCCAGGTTAGGGTCATAGAACGCCTCATTTTGAGTCGTCGTTGTCCTGATAATATAGAGAACAAAACCTTACAAGGAAATCTGCACGCACTACAAAATCTCGCAAAGGAAGAACTCTGGGAAGTCGATGTATTCGATAACGTGAAGGAGAGCGGTAGCTTTCCCTCACTCCAAATAAATTGCAACGAAGAAAAACAGAACTGAACGTAAGGAACACGCCATTAGCAAATAAGTTTTGCGAATGTCTCAGCACCGTAGTGGTTGCATTTCACATCACATTGATGCTTTAGAAAACAATAGTGCGCAGTAAGTAGAAACTTAACACCCTTAGCTTTTGTTAAGATGGCTAAATACTTGAAGCTTTATCAAAAGTGTCGGATTTCTCTACGAGTGATTAGAAGGCGTATTACGGACATTGGCAATGATCATAACTTCAACGCTCGAATTATGTAATTTCCGAATTGTTGCCAGCCGCAAGAAAATCATGGAACATCAGGAGATACTTTGTTCCCGAGTATGAACACATTCTGGACCTCGTTTCCGGATAACGTTTCTTCTTCTCTCACATTAATTTTCATTTTTAAAACTTCCGGCTGAAGTTTGTTCTCGCCTTTGCCTACGTAACTGGACGTTTGTTAGTATTACAAAAATTGTTTGACTTATGGTATGTGATAGGGGCACGTGTGGCGCAGTGGTTGGAAGAGATCTGCAATACATATGGAAACGATCCTCGCGCTCCAGGCCCACCGCCTCCTGCCACCCGTTTGGGGTCGGCAAATTGGTTCCAGACTTGTCCAGGAAGATACCAGCACCAGCTCGATACAACGGTGGGCCACATTGAGTCATTGTAAAGGACAGATATACATTCAGTCACCTCCATCGATGCCTAATGAAGTCGAATGCATGGCGCATCCCTCAAGGATTGACTAAGTCTGAGAGATTTATCTTTTTTGTCTTTATGCTGTACCATAGTACTTAATGCAAGCAAAAAATTAATTTGGAAGGAGGATTCTCATACGATGAGCCAGGGTTCTTAAAAGGTAGACTGAGGTAAGAGGAATGTGGAACGGAATAGCAGAGCGCAGAGGTGACGGTTCTTTCTGCTGCTGACAACTTCCTCGATGGTGCTGTAAGCAGTGAAAATCGCCTATCGCATACTCCAGCTCAGTTTAGAGACTACGCCGTTGAGCATCGCCGGTGCATAAGCAGGCAATAGAGAGCTGGATTGTTAGGAGGCATAGGAACAATAAGATTCTTTACTTATTCAAAAAGTTTGTTGTGCATTTTTGCGTTTATTGCGAACTCCGCACCCAACTGTGGAATCAAGTTGCAACATGTCAAGACTGTTCTCGGCGAAGTTGCCATCTCCGCTCCGGTTCTCCGACCCGAGCAGGCCACATACCCTGAACTCCCGCCAACTTCCCACCTCTCTGGTGTTCATGCCTCATCTCATCTTCACATCGCTTCAACGATCCATTGCGAAATGACTTTTTCTTATTGCCATTTGCCTCTTCTACTTTCCTTCTCTCCATATTCTCCTTGCACATTGGTTTCGTTGCTGCTCGTATGTACATTTCTTATACTAGAAATGCTTGTCGTAGTTAGTGGAATGTATTGAGAAATGTTTCAAAACCGACTTCTGTTTTGTTTATTGCAATTTTCAAGAAAATCTGATTTCCGTCTTGATCATGAGTGACGTTGAAATCATACGAGTGATAGCACGAGTGCGTCCGGCTTCGACCACACAAGAACGCATCGCCACTGTTCTTGATGAATGGACCATATGCGACTCTGATCAGCGACTCTTCTTCAGTGGAAGACACGTAAAAAAACGGTTCTGAAAGAAGGCGAAACTGCCGAAATGTCAGCTACGCTTGTGTTGTAAAAAAAGCTCTAAAGCCTTTTTACTAAAGGTTTAGGGTTTTTTTCAGTAAAGCTCTCGTCGTTGACCAATCCCTGAAGGATGCGCCATGCATTCGACTTCATTACGTATCGTTGGAGGTGATTTAATGCATATCTGGCCTTTACAGTGACTCGCAGTGGCCCGATGTATCGAGCCAGTGCTGCTATCCTTCCAGACAAGTCTGGTGCCAATTTGCCCACCACAGAGGGATGAAAGAGTTGGTGAGCCGTGGGCGCTGGGATCGATTCCACGTGTGTGTCGCAGTGACGCTTCCAACCACTGCACCACACGCGCCTTCGGTTGTGTATGTGTATTATTGTATAAAAGTAAACGTATGCTGTTTAACAACCTCGCGATTGCTGTGAGAGAAAACGACGAATTTATAATCCAATGCTACGGTTAATAGAAAGTCGATCATGATAACGGAACTACATTCACATATGGTGAACTTTGTGGGCTCCTCATTTTCATCAACAGGTCCCATTCTTGTATCAGCTTTGTGAGGTACTGCAGGTCAAACTAGATCGGAGAAAACCTACACGATCTTTGGATCACCGACTGTTGAGAAGTGGCTCATCGATTCTCACCATCGAGGCCTTATGCCACGCACAAGTGACGCCCTGTTTGAGAAGTTATTTGCAAGAGCTGCAGACGTTAAAGAAGATCTCGGAGGTTTGTTTTAAATACGCCTACGTTCTCGTTTTTATAAAGACGTGGGCTCCAACTACGAAGTTTCTCGCCGATTCGTGGAACTGTACAATGAGGACTTCTACGTTTTATTGAGTCGTTGTGATCAGAAACTTTCGATACGATGTGATTCGAAGGTAACGAAAACAAATTGCTGTTCATAGTGGCAAATTATTAAGTGTTTCTACTGGGAGTCCAATTGCTTGGCACCTCCGACCACAAGGTTTAGTCCAGTACTGAAATGACGCTAGTTGGTTTTTAGATCATTTTCCAAGTGTAACCTTTGGTGACCTTAGCGCAGTTAAAAATACTCCAAATTCTCAAAATCGGATGGGAAGCAGAAAGTACAACTGAAACTGCGATGAATCGAGAGCCATCATGATGGCATTGTATATTCAATGTGGACGTTAGTTATTGATTTTGATGTCATGATTTGATATTTAGAGCTACCTTCATCACTCGTAAATACTCCTATTTTTAGGTGACGACCGAAGAACTAATGAACAACTTTGTAAATAAAAGGTTATTACCTTAAACCTTGTGGATCCGGCGGGATCGGAAAGACAGACACAAACAAAGGTGTCGGTGATCGATTAAAGGAGGGCATAAGCATCAATTTCGTAAATGGTATTCTTAGTTTTGGTCTAGATTCTGACATTGATTATTACCTATTTCAGTCAATAGTCGTTCTGGGCCGCCTTATGCGAAAGCTATCAGGCGTAAATCGTCGTGATGAACACATATCGCATCGGGATTCCGAACTGACCCATATTTTAGAGGACTCATTAGGAGGTAACAGTAGGACATCTGTCTTCGCGAATGTTCACATTGGCAGAAAGTAGGTTCTGAAGATATTTTGTAGCGCTTACGATCGGTCCATTACAGAACTCTACTGGCTTCTGCTGAAAATTTTGTGGAGCGTTATTAGTTGTTATATTAAACACTAAGGTTATCTGTAGTCTTGGTATTTAAGAATGGCGGTGAGTTCAACCTTTTTGGTTTAATGATCAATTTTTGAAGCTGTGAATACAAAGAAACGTGAAATTTTATATACAGTATGACATTTTCTCATTTAGGTCACATGGAATTATTATAACTATTATGCGTGGACGTGGCAGTTCGCCGCGACTTGTGGGAAAATTGAGAACTGTGTATATGCTAACGAGGGCTTGGCAGGTGAAACAGTGACGGCCTACAGGGGCGAGGTTGTGCGTCTTCGTGAGGAACTTGAAGAACTCCGTTGTATTGAGGGGAAGACCCGCTCAAGTGTCCTTATATCATTTATACACTCGAATCACGACTCCATTTTATACCTAATCCAAAGGGCGCGTGTGGCGCAGTGGTTGTCGGAGGCGCCACTGCACACACACGTGGGATCGATCCCAGCGCCCATGGTCCACCAAGCCCTCCATCCCTTCGGGGTCTGAAAATTGCTACCAGACTTTTCTGGGAGGATAGCAGCACTGGCTCGATACATCGGCAGGCCACCGGAAGTCATTGTGAAGGACAGTTATGCATTCGTTCACCTCCAACGATACTTAGTGAAGTCGAATGCATGGCGCATCCCTCAGGGAATGATCAACGCCGAGAGCTTTATACTTGATCCTTTACCTAGTCCAAAACGCATGTTACAAATTATTGTCTGCAACTTCAGAACTAAGGACAGAAATTTCTGCCGTTGAAGAAGAGATGATGATTTGGGAAGATATGGCGGTTTAACAAAAGATGGCGCTTGTTAAAAGGCAACGTCAGAACGATGTTCTCTATGCGCAGCTTGAGAACAATGTATGTCAAGAAGCTATCAATCAGGTTCTTCCTTTATACGTTTTCGCATTACTGACTTTGCTAAGATATTCTTGTATTGGTATATAGCCTTTGTAGTGCTTATTAGCGTTTTCATTCAAACTCATTTTGCTTCCAGTATTTTTGGAAACATTATAGGTTCTTAAACATTTTTTTTTTCAGATGTTGGCGGTAGCAAGACATATAAAGTCGAAGCGTGCTTATATGTTGAAAAACATGTCACAAACATATGATATTAGTGTGACTGGACACTGGACGATACCGTTTTTCATAATGCAACTAGGCTTTCTCTTTCTAAAGGTAAGATATCGTGTATGTTGCAAGAAGTAAATTTAATTTGTGGCAAAAGTGGGAACCTCAGACATGCTTCGAACCCGCGATTACCCATATTGGGGGCACACTTGCTATCCACTACACCATCCCACTTTTCCGCTTTGCCTTCTTGCAGCCTTCTTAGCATAACTGTAACTGTATTTCACGTTATACCATCCTGTGAATAAAGAATAAGCAGTGAGTAAAAGTTAAGACGTTCCGATTTCGACTGCAACCCAGCATAACTGGGTTCGATGGTGGTATGATTTCGCCTCGCTCCCGTTGAGGGGTAAATTCTGATAACACAGATGGGATAGAAAATTGATTGAGATGAAGGCAAAGAGTTTCGGTTAGTGTGGTGGGTAACACTTCGGAGACGGTAATTGCGTGTAAAAAGGGCACCTGAAGTTCTGGCTTTGCTCATATCTCAGAATCATTGTGGTTGTATTTCGCATATTACTTTTCCATTAAAAAAGAGAATACGCAATAAATGGAACTTGAGACATTGAGACTGTAAGGACTCAGCTCATTACGAACACATGCAGAGAAGAAATTTTATGTTGTTCATAATATACCAAGATTGACTGATCGCTTAATGGAAGATAGACTGATAAGTGACAGGAAAAAGACTTCATTCGTTATCCTAGTATTCTGTGATATTCTACCATAACTGTGGACGAGGATCGAGTTACTCAACATATTTGAGGAATTTACAAAAGAACGACTTGAAAACGATCCATCGAACGATCGCGGTTTGATCGCTCTTTTCCCATTGTGGAGTTTAAGATTTTTGTGCCTCGTATACTGCTGTGCATTTTGAAAACTGGTTTAAGTTGCTGCATTAAATAATGCACACAGGTTCGAAGCGAAATAGATCAGTTGCAAGACCGTTAGGAGCTTCTCAATGTGGCTAGAAAAGCTCTCGAAGGGGTTTAGAATGAAGTCCTTGAGGAACGAAATGAAACATTTCTGGAAACTCTACTTCGTCGATTAACTCTCAACACAGTAGGCTTTTTCACTTGCTTAGTTTTTATGTAGCAATGGTTCACCTTACGAAATAGAAACCCATATGTGGGAAATATAAGCGGCTTGACTAACACAAACACTTGAGGAGTGTGAAGGCGTTGCGTTCAATTAAGAGCTCTTCGCCTTGTCTGTGTCTTAGTAAGTCTTTCATAATACTAGCGTTTTTAAAACAATTAGTTCCACTTCGATATTTTTCAATTGCTGCTTCTCGTGTAGTAGATACGAAAAATATACCTCAGCCTTACAGTTGGGTTTCTAGACGCGTAAAGACGATGACAATAAGAAAGGCGAAGCTGAAAAAAGAAAAGAACGTCGTCGGACGAGGTTCATGTTATCAGGAGTTAAACCTGTTCTTTTTGAGAAGAAAGAAGAAAGTAATGCACAAGTTCAAATGATGCTGAGATATTCGCAAAACTCCGGACCACAGGTGTCTCCGGTGGTGAACGAATGCGTTATTGTCCTTTCCGGTGTGTTACGCGTTCACCACCACATCATGCGGGTTTTTTGGTTTCGCCTGTCTCTCAGCTAGTTTTATTGATCTCTGCTGTCAGCAATCACCAGTCAGCGGAATTGATCTGGGGAGCACAGGTCAGGCAGAGGAGACAGGCGAAACGAAGGACCCAAATGGTGTGGTGGTGAACGCGTTACCCCCCGGAAAGGACAGTAGCGCGTTCGTTCCCCATCGTAGACACCTGCAGTCCGCAGTTTTGCAATTATCTCAACATCATGTGAAGTCATATTTCGCAATATACCCTGCAATTAAAAAGAGTAGGCAGCAGATAAAACTGTTAAGATGGTAAGGCACAACCACAAGGAGTGAGTAATATTTACTTTCCAGTGTGTTTCCACATTTTATTTTGAATACTTGAACTTTTATGAGTCTTTTGAAAGATATAGAACATGATTAAGAAACGAGAGAAGAACGAAGAAAACCGGTTCGTTCGAAGATCGACAATAACATGTTGTTCCAGATCGTCTCAGAGAAAGAAGCTACTCTTAAGGACATTTGCGACAAACAGCAGGGTCGACCAAAGCAGTGGATCGAGGAGAAGAGGTTATTGAAACGTTCGTTTTGCTACGGTATTTTTTTCTTTCACAAACGTACATAGGTTGTTGGAGTGCTTTTCAGTAAATCCTCGTTGAACGGACGCACAAAAGATCTGTAGAGAAACATGCACTCTTGGAAGAAACAAAAGAGTTGCAGAAGCAAATGGAACTGCTCAGTGCAAAGCTTCCGTCATCTAACGACGAGGCTTGTACTTTGTACATTTGCTATCTTGTTCTTGACTATGCATAAGTAAGTATTTGATTCGGAAATGCCATCTAGAGCAGTCGGTTGAGAATCTGAATTCCGAGAAACTCGATCTGGAAGATAAATTCCAAGGTCCTTTCTTTTTGAACATACTTCAGTGTGCTATGTTAATAGCAACTATATCGTAATTTCTTAGGAAAGCAAAATGAAAACGAAAGGCTTTCAGCGGAACTCAGAAGCAAAGTGGAATTGGTGAGTCTGTAGAACAACATCGCATATTTTCTAAGTACTTAAACCTTTTTCTCGGCTGAAAATCGAGCAGTTGGATTTTTCAATTTTAATTGGCCAACACGTTTAAAAGTGAGGTAGCTTTGTAAAAAAAAAAAAAAAGGTGTAACTACGCTCGCTGGCTCATCATATAAGTCGAGAATTTTTCCGTTTCACAGTTGAGTAGCTCCGTAACGTCATTTGTTTTCGGGTTATAAATATTTTGCAGTGCAAGGAGACAATGGGAAATTAGTGGAACTGTTCGATTTTTTGAATGCTTTTCGCTTGCATATCTTATCAACAATTTGCGTTTTCTTCCCAAGAAACATGTTGCGTTTCGAGCTTGAATCTTAGACGCATGTTTCTCTGCCCGTTCTAAACTTTGTTAGCAGAGATAAAAGCCATCTGCACACATTTGCCAATAGTGTTCTACTTTTCTTTTATTCTATTATGATAAGATTTTAGATTTTGAAGCCAGAAGATCTTCTGAATGTATTTTCGTCTTCGGCGTCATCCAGAAAGAGGCAGAGTTCAATTTTTCTAATCACTTGACTTTTGTAATGCTGCTTGTATAAGGTGAAATAGGGCGACATTGTACCAAGGAACCTTTGGCCTGATCCATTGCCCATAGTACAAGTTGAAATTCTTGAAGTTAGCCGATATCTCCACTCTATTTCAAAGCTTCAATATTCCCGGCAAGTTTGAAGAAGTTACAACTTAATGTTTCCTTTAGTGTGCAAGGAAAGGTCGTCTTTACCTGTACAAGACTAACGGAAAATGTTCTTGATTGTTGTATCGAATGTGCCTTTCGATGCATTACATGCTTATTAAACGGACAATTTTTCTTGCTGAGGTTAAAAGCATATTTCTTAAGTAAGCCCTCTTAGCTCTTTGTTAGAATCGCAAGACGACTCTTTCTCAAAAGTTTTTTTCTCTTTCCTGTCCACCAGCGATAAGAAACTTGGCCCTGCCCTCGTCTAGTGGAGCCTTGAAGTAGAGGTATTAGCTAACTCTAAGAATTTCAACATGTACTATCAGCAATAAACTAGGCGAAAGGTTCCCATTTGCACAGCTAGTTAAGGAAATACAACCTATAACAAACATGCGCTCCTACTGCCGTGCCTTCTACTACTTCATCCGGTAAAATATTTACAACATATCGATGACAGCGTTTCTTGTTGTGAACTCCTATCACAAGAACAGTATCTCCAACCGATGCCAACGTTCATTTCCTTTCTAATAGGAGGCAACATCAGATAAGCGTAGTCGACATACACAAAACCAAAGTGGAGACGACTAACCGATGTTAACTTGATTACCAGACCTATTCTATCAATAGTGGCAAGCCATCGTCACAAAATGTCGGTTAAGTGTGTGTTTGTGCAGTTGTTAAGTGCAAATTTTGCCAATACATACAAGATCCTCCCATCACGTATGGCCACAATGCGTCCTCAAATTCCATTCTAGGTGAAAACACTTGCTTGAACCTTTACAAATCTGCAGCTGATGAATACGAAACAGAGATGTTCAATGTATTGAGGTAGCTGTCAGCACAGAAAAAGTCCTAAAAATTCAATGGTTAAAACCATAATGATGCTGAAATATTTGCAAAACTCCGAACCGGTGATGTCTGCGGTGGGAATCGACCACGGTATCACCCTTTCCGGGGGCTAACGCGTTCACCACGAAATCACGCCAGTCCTTCGTTTCGCTCTTCTGGTCGATACTTATAATTTAAAGCCAGAATGGGAAGCCAAGAAAAGGATATACCCTCTCTGACCGAGATTGGAACCATTGAATGTTTTTTCCACAAAATTACAGTTTTAGGTAAGCATGCAAGTTGCTCCGGAATGTGGAATTCCACAGCAGCACAAAAGTGTATAATGATCAAGAGCATCTGCATAAATAAAGTATAACCTTTATCATGTTTAGCTGAGGCTCTTGCTGGTTGTTGTTTGATACGCCTGAATACTGCCCTTCAAAATCTCGATCGAGCTATAGGCAAACCATAAAAGAAATCCCGTAATCAAATCAGAACAGAAAGATAAGCAATGAATGAAAACACCTTCAGCTAAGATCTCCAACTGAAGACTATAAGATGGCTGTCAAAGAATTCCAAAGTGCGCTGTTACTCCTCAGTATTCCAAATGAGATGTTCTAATTGCATTTCGACTACTACAAAGGAAACTTTCGAAAGAAGAAGAAAAAAAAATGTTTGGGTTTGATGTGATCTTAACACAGTGAGCATAAGTGCCAACTAATGAAGCCGCCTGCAGCAAGACTGACAAACCTATACGGAAAAGATGTTAGAAGAGGCTTGGAAAAGAATTGAGAAATTAACGTTTGGACCTCTGCAAATACAACACTATATCAGCACTGTCAAACGAACAGGATATTTTAACCATCTGCATAACCTGAAAACCATGAACGACACGCATCAGATACAAATAGCATATTGACAGAAACAATCGAAGAGAACTACAATGATTACTTACTGAGGCTGCTTAATAAACTCCTTACGAAAATTAACCTACCGAGTACATCAGTGACATAAAATCAAAGTCAATCAGCTAAACCAATGTGGTCACTACACTAGTCCTAAATAACATCTTATTAGAACCAGCACCTGGCCCACGTCGTAACCTATGCCGATTCCAAAGTTGATGGATAGTGAATGCCAACAGAACAAAATAAAACAATTTTCAGTATCCAGATAGTCAATACTGTCACTATCAACATTAGGATCAGGCAACGGAAAATAGCTCTCGTTGATTGTGTTGAAGGTTCGAGCGTTGCCGCACAGAATCCACGTCGGGCATGCGATGTAGTAAAATGTCTCAGTATATAGAACTTATTCGAAACTAGAATGGACCGTCCTCATTGGTTGTGCGGGCTCCAGCATAACCTCTATTTCTCCGAGATTTGCTGGTTAAACCATTTTGTTCTCTGGAATCCAGAGGTCAGAATGGCCAGTCTGCTCCTGGTCTTCACCACCACAGACAGTCGCAGCCCTTGTGGATCAGATGGTCATTTGCCACCACACGACTTTGATACCAGGATGGTGGTGGATACTGGTAATGGTTTACTCTTAGCTAGGTTTCCTGACTGGAACGCTAAACTCCTTCTCAGATTGGGAGACCCTGCCAGGAGATGAATCCTCCCCTGTACATTACAGTCCGACACCCAGGAACACCGTCCAGCCACGATGACGCGGTAAATCGTTGAGAGGTATGTATAACACGTTATACAAAATAACCCCTAACGCCACAATAATGTAGATAGCCAGATGAATCATGTAAATGAGCATGACTATGGAGGAACACGTCATGCAGTTCGAACAAAACTTCGTCAACTCAGTCTCGAACAGGGACGTTGTTCTTTTGGATGTTCTGCCTTTGACGATTTCACTATGGGAAAAAGCAATGCAGATGTCAATGTATTTAGCAAAAATGTCCACAAATCAAAGAGCGATATGTACATCACGGTCCGATTCAAGGTTCAGCGTCATTATCACCTGCTCAAAGAAATTTGCAATCGATATTGAACACGAATTGTTCTATAATTACGGTACGTTACGCAGTAACGATGCATCGTACCGATAAGCAAGCGCAAGTAATTCCAGAGGTGAGTGAAAGTGTGAGTTCATGGAATCACTCCTATTTTTGACCATAGAGACACTTTATGCTTATCATCACTACGGCGACCTTGCAGTATATAAGCTGTTGTGCGACAAGATGAACAAGCGTCGGTAAGGTTAGAAAGTCACGCTCGCAAACTGAGTTGCTGTTGACATCAACTAGTACCCAAGGAAGTGTCAAGGAAGTGGTGAAGCATAAATCAATATTGCCATTGATTATTTTTGTCTGGAGTCAAAGAATCGAGAGCTCAGAATTCCAAATGATCGAGGGAAGATGTTCCTATTGAATGTCTTAAAGAATATACTCCAAAAGGATCAGAAGTGCCAACAACATATCTTGATACTTTCTCTTAAATCATGCTCATTTCACTGATTTTAGTGTGAAGAAGATGCTTGTGATGTCCGCTGCAGTGTAGCCATAGTAGGCCTAAAAATTTTTGGACACCTGATTTCTCTTTTCTTTCATGTACATCGAAGTAATTATTGAGTTTAAAGTAACAAATACACTTGTGGTATTGTCGTAGAAGAAAAGTAGTGTGCCGAAAGTAAGGCAGTGCAATAGAAGTCCACCGAGAAACTGCCTCCTACGCCAGCCGAAAAATTCGGTTCTGCCCCACACCAGCATACGCCTTCACACTTGACATACGATAACATAGATGATGAATACGCGAAGTACAAAGCTATTGCCATTTAGGACTGATAGCTCTATGGTCAATGGCACCTGTACAACTAGACAACTTTTTTCCTAATAAAATATTCGCCATATTAGTTTCGACAGTTATGACGGAACTGGGGAAACCAACTTTTATGTAAGTGGAACATCTATGGTATAAACCCTCTGTCAAAAGTGCACTGGACGTAGTCACCCATAATGTCACAGATAAAGCGAAATTTTAGAACGAAGTGATAAAGGTAATCATTTAAAATGGACATGACATGCCACATACATGAAGTGCACCAAAAAGATAACGATGAAAACAATATCCTAGAAGCCACACCTGGCAGGAGTAATAAGGGTGCTGTGAGTAGCCGTCACACAGATGTAACCTCTCGAATTAACAATGGCAGTAAGCAAAGACGAAAGACTTAAAATAGGTTTTCTATACTTAACCCAGTCTATGATAGCAAACCTCACAAAAAAAGATAGCAGGGCGCCTGAAAATATTAAGCAAGATGCAAATGAAGTTCAAATTCGGGACATGTTGAAGTGCTTTCAAATGTTCCAAGTTTATGTATGTATATATATATATATATATATATATATATCAATAGACTGAAAAACAAATTTTAAGACGCACTTGTGACAGGATTCATAACCTCTAACAGACCACTATTTCCATCGCTCGGATCCAGCTGCATCTCAATTCAAAGAGATTGTATATAGTTGTACACCTGTACAAAAATTACTGACAAAAAGAATGATAGCCATTGTAGGAGCTTCACGTCGATTTCTCCGTTTTACTGTTTTATCCTCTTTGCTTGTAATTCCCGTAGGATGACTTATTTGGTTAAGAAAGAGAATAAAAACCGAAACAACGGAAAGATTCTAAGACGACTGAGGTTTAAGCACAAAATAAAATGCTAAAAACCAAACTATTTTGCAGAACTGAACACCCGAAAAATTCCACAGCTTGTGAGTGCCCACCATGGAAACCACAACAAGCTGGTCCTTCGTTTCGCCTGTCTCTCAGCTAGTTCTATCGAGCAGCGCCATCAGCACCTACGACCCAGAGCTTTGCAAATATCTCAGCAACATTGTGGTTGTATTTCGCTTAGTACCCTAACGTAAAAATTGTAGTACACAGAAAATAAAAAGTAAAACATTGTGATTTCAACCACAACCTCAAATTAACTGGCTTCAATGCCAATGTAGACTCCCAGATTAATCCCATTGATGGGTGATTGCTGATAGTGG